GCCCGCCCTCACCCCCAGCCCTCGCCCCCGGCCACCCGGTCCCGGCCACCACCCCTGCGGGCTGTCGCAGGGTGCGGGCGAGCGCGCGCCATCCTCCCCCCGGTGCGATTCCAGCGCAATGCCCGCAATGTTTGTAATCCCTCCCCGTGGGCCGCGCGAGGGCACAAGCGCACGCCCACCGGCGGCCCAGCACCACCCGCTTGACCACCCGCTGGCCCAGGACCCATTGCACGGGACACCGTGCGCCGTGCTCATCAGTGGTCGGGCCGTGAGGGGGGGGGGGGGTGAGCGGCACACCAGGCCGGCCTCCTCGTGAAGCGCGGGACTCGACTTGCGCACCACGGGTCGCCCGGCCTCTCACAGGGCTATATCGCCCCCCCCCTCCCCCCTCTACCGCACCCGTCCCTGTCCCCCGGGGACGGCCCCCGCCCCGCGCGTGACGCACGCTTCAGCGGCAGGCCTACGCGGACACCCGTAGATCGGGGAATGTTCTCTCCCCCCCCCCCCCCTCTCGGGGCAGAAAACGGAAATCCCTCAGCGACACCAAATTACTACCAGCTAATGGGAGCTTCACGCCGGTAAACAACCGGTCGTCAGATCCCCGGTGCTGGATCGGCTACCATGGTGAGATCAGATATGGCCCTCGGCGGCCCGAGGGCATGGGAAATTCGCCCGACGGGGCTTGGCTGGCCTCGTGGTCGCGTGAGTCCTCTCACGTGCTCGACCACATCAGCACACCAGAACATTCGAGCAATCCCCCCCTTCCTCCGGGTGCTGTCCCGGCGGCGGGTCCCGGGGAGCGGACGGACGATTGCGATGCCAAGCGGGGGGGGGGGGGGGCGGGGGGGCGCGGCCCGGCCGGGTCCCAGGGCGTCTGCCGCTGGTGAGCGGGCGCCCCTTCCTCCCTCGCCCTGCCCACCTGCTCGGCCCCATCGATCTCCAGCTTGTGGGCCTGAGTTTTACTCTAGAGATCCAGGCTGCCGTGCCGGGACCTCGCCGGCGGGCGGGCACTAGCATTAGCCGAAGTCCAACGGTGTCTCGCCCTGCGGGCAGAGAAACCCGGACGGCCGGACGCCGCCAGATGGGGGGGGGGGGGGGGGGGGAAGGAGGGGCCCGACGGAGGGAGGCGCGTCCGGGGTTGTCTCGCGGTCGCGGGCGCCCCGCCCCACTCGGCCCAGGTCTCCTGGGTCGAGGTCGTGGTACACTGGCAGCCACGACGGCGCCCCCCCCCCCCCCTCCCCCAGCAGCGCGATGAGACCCGAGGGCGGCGCCGGTCCAAGGGGCGCCTAGCCACCCCACACTCCCCCTTCGGGCGCGTGCGCTTGCTCCTGCGCCCAGGGGCAGGGCGGGGCAGGGACGCCTCTTGCCCCGGCCGGGTGCCCGGCCCCCGCACCGGCTCCCTCGGCTCGCCTGAACGCCCGTCGGGACCCGCACATTGAAGAGGTTCGCCCAGCCGGGGACAAGATCCCTGCCGCAGCCACCCACATACCTACCACTACTTCCCCCCCCCC